GGCTATTTTTTGGTTGCAGCCGTCGTTGTTTGGCGGGTCCGGGCTGGGGATTCGAACCCGCCACCTTAGGTGTATGTGGCTGGCGCCTTAGCCGGTTGAGCTATAGGCGCCGAGCTGAGAGGTAACATCTTGCCTGGGTACCTTATGTTGTTTCGTAGTTTTTGCAGTTCATGACCTGCTTTAATATACAAGTACTTTCTTTTTTTCAAGACAAAGTCTCGCTCTGTTGCCCTGGATAGAGTGCTGTGGTGTCAGCCTAGCTCATAGCAGCCTTAAACTCCTGGGCTCAAGTGATCCTTCTGCCTCAGTTTCCTGAGTAGCTGGGACTACAGGTGCCCCCCTCCACACTTGGCTAATTTTTCTATTTTTACTAAAGGTAGAGGTCCTATTCTTGTTCATACTTGTCTCAAACTCTTGACGTCAAGCAATCCTCTTGCGTTGGCCTCCCAGAGTACTACAATTACAGGTGTGAGCCACTGCACCCAGACTGCAAGTACTATTCTTAAGGTTTATCTCCTGAGGAGGTGTTTCTTAAACTTCTTTATCACTTCTTGATTCTGACTGTAAAGTCTCCTAAGACTCTCCATTCTAGTTTGAGGTCTAGGAGAAATAGCTCTTCACCAAGTAACTGACTCAACCACTGAGCCTACTCTAACCAAAACTGCTGCCTTCTGGGAGGACCCTTGAGCTCATGTCCATAGTTTGAGAGATAGCTAACATTTTTTAGTTCTTACTGGGTAGGTGCAGGGCATTATGCTACCTAAGCACTTTAACAATTTCCTAACAGTTTAGATTACTTACATGTACTTGGTATTATAAGCCTTCTCTATACATATGTTGACTCGTATAATTCTCACAACAAGCCTTGATGATGGTGAAATAGATGCTATTATTCCTGTTTTGAGAAAACGGGCTCAAGGGATAAGTAATTTTGGTATATTCCATAGCAATGACAGGCAACTTGACTCTAGAATTGTTCTGGTTCTATGCTATATAGCAGTGAATTTCAACTGGTGTGCTGTGAAAATTTTTAAAGATCATTAATTAAATTATTTTTGAAAGAAGTTCAAAGCACATTCTTTTTTTACTCTTTTTTTAATGATCAACATAAGTGTGCTGCAAAAGTTTAGGTATAGATTCAAGTGTGCCATCAGATTAAAAAGTTGGAAAACGCTGCTACATAGCCTTTCAAACTTTACAAATATTTTCTCATTTAATACTGAGGACAAAGCTGGAAGACATGTTTGCTTTAGAGATCCTAAAATAAGGTCAGTGGTGGTGCTAAGTTTTTTTTGTTGTTTTTTTGTTTGCAAGTTTTGCTTTGGTTTTCAAGATTTGGTTAAGAGGTTAAGGATGAGAGGTCAGGTTGGGCAGATCTGATCAAGTTGGGCTCACTTTGTGGCCCTCGGTAGAGTGCATTGGCATCACAGCTCACAGCCACCTCAAACTCTTGAACTTAAGTGATTCTCTTGCCTCAGCCTCCCAAGTAGCTGGGACTACAGGCACCCACCACAGCACTGAGCTACTTTTAAAGATGAGGTCTCTCTGACTCAAGTTGGTCTCAAACCTGTGTGCTCAGGCAATCGACCCTCCTTGGCCTCCCAGAATGCTAGGATTACAGGCGTGAGCCACCGTGCTGAGCCTCAATGCTGAGTTTATCATCAGATCTGCCCTACTTGAGCTCTCATCCTTACTTCTTAACCAAAACTTGAGCTCTTAACACGTTATCTGCCATGTGAGTTGTATTTAACTTACACTAGTTTTGAGCCTGGGGCCTCATGAAGTATATACAACTCACATGTCTCTTGAACTAATAAAACACAGTGGCACAAGGGAAAAATAATTTTCTAGTGTGGCAGTCAATGTGTTATCACTCTCTGTTACTTGGAAGTTCTCAAACTGTTCCCACTGGTGTTCCAGCAATTAAACTGAACCGAAATGGTATAACAACATTTTTATTCGTTTTCTGAAATTACAAATAGATTTTTCTCAGCTGTAAGCATTTCTTATAATTTCTGTATATCACTGGCATCTAACATAGCAAGTATTAGCAAATGATGGAATGAGAAAGAATGAACAAATAGTGTGTATTGCCAGAAAAACTCAAATAGCTGAGCTAGCCTTATAGGTATCACTTCTTTTTAAGAGCTATGCATAGTAATAGATTTTGCCAATAATGTTGTAATGAAATTAAATATACCATTCATAGTGTTCCACAGAAAAGCAGTAGGACTTTTTGGATATGAAGATTAAAAGCTACATATAGCTGGGTGTTGTAGCTCATACTTATAATCCTAGCACTATGGGAGGCGGAGGCGGAGGCGGAGGCAGAGGCAGGTGGATTGCCTGAGTTCACAGGTTCAATGCCAACCTGAGCAAGTGTGAGACACTGTCTCTAAAAAAACAGCTGTATGCGGCTCGGCGCCCAAAGCTCAGTGAGTAAGGTGTCAGCCACATACACTGAGGCTGGTGGGTTTGAGCCTGGCCCAGGGCCTGCTAAACAACGACAACTGCAACCAAAAAAAATAGCCGGGTGTTGTGGCGAGCGCCTGTAGTCCCAGCTACTTGGGAGGCTGAGGTAAGAGAATCAGTTAAGCCCAAGAGATTAAGATTGCCATAAGCTGTGATGCCACAGCACTTTACTGAGGGCAATGTAATGAGACTGTCTCAAAAAATAAAATAAAATGAAGTAAAATGAAATAGGGGTGGTGCCTATGGCTCAGTGAGTAGGGTGCCAGCCCCATATACTGAGGGTGGTGAGTTCGAACCCGGCCCCAGCCAAACAGCAACAAAAAAAAGCCAGGCATTGTGGTGGGCGCCTATAGTCCCAGCTACTTGGGAGGCAGAGGCAAGAGAATTGCCTAAGCCCAAGAGCTGGAGGTTGCTGTGAGCTGTGATGCCACACAGCACTCTACCCTTGTCTACCAAGGGCAACAAAGTGAGACTCTTGTCTCTAAAAAAAAAAATAAATAGCTGGGTGTTGTGGAGGGCACCAGTAGTCCTAGTACTCAGGAGGCTGAGACAAGAGAATTGCTTGAGCCCAAGAATTTGAGATTGCTGTGAGCAGTGATGCCACAGCACTTCACTGAGGGTGACAAAGTGAGATTCTGTCTCAATAAATAAATAAAAGCTACAGATAATCTCATTTTATAAAATTAAAATATATACGTGTGAGGTAAAGCAAAACTAATTAAAACCCCCTGAACACTAGAATGGCTTCATTCTAGTGAATGACGAGAACTTTGCTAGGTGGGGCTCTAAGTTTCTGGAGGGGAAATTGAGGGAGGGTTGCCCTTTCTCCCAACCTTGGCCTGACTACCTTATAATCTTCATTTAGACCTGGTCATGCTTGGTTAGTGCTAGGATCAGGAAAAGAGCTATTTTATTAATTAGTTCCAAGGAGAGAATAGATAGCTATGATTTCTGGATTGAGAAATTAAAAACCCTTGGAGCTTAACCTTCCCCTTCCCTCCTCTTCTAGTAATTTTCCATCCAGGCAGGGTGTGACCATGACTCAGTCTGTGGTGAGGATATGGCTCTCCATTGCTTCTGTTCATTCTGACTTGTGGAGAGAGGGAAAGAGTCTAGTGCTGAGTCATTACTGGCTTTAGACAGGGCGGATTCTTTTTTTTTTTTTTAATTAAATCATAGCTGTGTACATTAATGCAATCATAAGGTACAATGTGCTAGTTTTATATACAATTTGAAATATTTTTATCAAACTGGTTAACATAGCCTTCATGGCATTTTCTTTCTTTCTTTTTTTTTTTTTTTTTTTTT